ACTTCCATAGTGATACTGCCTCGGAAACCCAAGGAGGGGTCGCTATGAGTCGGGGCCGACTCGACGGCACATAACAACAACAACAACAACAAATAGGACAATAGAGAGCATAAACAACACAATGAAGCCTTGCAGGTTCCTAAAACCTGAACATTTTCTCAACTTGGCTATTTTCTGATCTATATTGATTTTAAGAAGCTAAATCTCTTTCATAGACCATTTCTTAGATAGTTCTGAGGAAGTCTTCTTAGTTCTTATTCCCAAAGAGAGCATATACGCTCCTGAGAAAAATAAGTTTTCCAATATTCTTCTACGTATGTAGGTTGCCATGTAACACAGTATTTGGCATATAGGGTTGCATATACTGCCAATATTGTTGATCATCATCACCTCAGCAGTACCATTTGTAGAGAATTTACTATACACCAGATATACATCCATATATTAACTAATTCATTCTTCACATATTTAACTAATTTAATATTCACAACAACCCCAAGATTGAGGTACTATTATTATGCCCAATTTACAGATAAAGAAAGACTCAGAAGAGATTGGTTAACTAGGCCAAGAATAAAAAGCCTACAAGTGAACTTGTAGGGATTCAAACTCAGATACTCTGACCCTAGAGCTGACATTCTATTGGCTCCACTCAGGAAAGATTATGGCCAAAGACATTATAAAATATTGAACAGAGCAATCAAAAGACTGTGGAAATGAATTCCCATATGTGTGACTGTGGCTAAAGCACTGGCCAAAAATTTAGAGGCTCCTTAGTAAAACAGGTACCACAAGTCACCTGGAAGCTACAGGTCAAAGAGCACAGGCCCACTGGAAATGAGTACAAAACTTGTCAGAAAACTGGTTTTTGTGGACAGGCAGCAGAGATCTGTGATGAGAAAAATACTGTCACAATGATAAACCAAATAATATCAAAATCCAGGAAGTAAGATTATCCATGAGGGAACAATGATAGCACCATCAGAAAATACCAAAAATATAGACTGAACTACTAGGT